TTACACTCTGATATTATTTTATGATAAAACGTTTGATTATTTCTACTGTGGTTTTGACATGACATGACATTACAGATGTTTTATTACACTGTTGGTTTTATAAAGACGTATAAAAAAAATGAAATTTTTTGGCCTGAATTTTTGGGATGTTACATAATATATTAATGGAAAATATAATAATTACTTTGGAATTAATCAGAAATTAATTTGAATTAATTTTGGGATTAATTGAAAGTGCATTGACTGTTTGGTTATTTATTAAAAGTTGAAGCATAAAGGATCTAGAACCCAATGGAATGGGGGTGAAAGAAATTTGTCTAGTAATAACCTAAAATTTCATTCATGGGGCTAAGACTAAGGAGATAAGGCGAGTTGATTATTATATTAACTAATCTGGGCCTTATCCTAAAAACCCTAGCTTTGGCTTCAAGGTTCCTTCAGCTATATAAAGCCCTCCCTGGCTCTCATTATTTCGGCACTCTATATAGCCTTCGTAGAGCCAAAATTTAGCTTAAATATCCTCTCTCCTGAAGTCTCCTTGCTACTAGAGTTTGGGGTACACGCCATTAGAGGCATCCATTCCTTTGGTGCTAGCTTTCCAAGTTTTTGAAGAAGGATTCTACTTTGATTATCTGCAATAATAATCAAAAGGCATGTAACCCTAATTTGATGTGAATTTTGATTTCATAGCTGTAACACCCGTAGATCCGGGCTAGTCAATTTAGAGGCAATAAATGTCAAAAATGACTTTTCTAAAAAATATTATTTAGAATAAATAATCTTAACCAAGTTGTAGTATACGTTACAAGGTTTCCGTACATATAAAGACTGTCGAAATCCGAGTTATAACGAAGAAGTTATGATCCATCGAAGTTTCGCGATGGAACCGACACGATACCGGAAAACGTAAATAGTGAATTTATGATAGAGCGAGATTTAGCCTTAGTGATCTAAACGAAGGTCGTAGAATACGTTAAACCGAAAGAGTCAATTAAAAAAACGCCCAAATCTGACTTCGTATGAGACCAAAACACAATAAAGAAAATTTTGATATGAATCAAAACTAGTATCAAAGATCAACAAATCACAGAATCCAAAATCTACATTTTATTTGAAATAAGTTCGAAAAATAAGTAAACCCAGTTTTATGTATAACTAAATCTTAATATCAACCTAAACGAATACCAAAATATCAACAAATCATAGAGACCAAGGGTAGTGGAGTTAGAATATTATCAGTTGACCAGTTGGAGTTGAGATAAACATCTTCTTTAAAATCGGAACATTTATTCAACTCACCTTCCGATGCAAACATGATTGAATTCAACATTGTTTGCGATTTCACCGATGAATAAATCTTGACATGTTTGGGATTTCACCGATGAACAAATCTATATATGGAGATTAAACTTATCGGGTTTCACCGATGAACATTGATGACGCCTTAAAACATGTGAAAATGATGAAGCATGGTTGCTTTTGGGAAGAATAGAAGCCGAAAAACGAATAATACCATGGGAAGACCTCTAGTAGGTGGTTGTTGATAGTGAGAGATGATAGGGTGAGGAGAGCATGTGGCGTTGAAGAGGGATGAAGGAGACAAGTCTTCGACACAACCAAAAAGTGTCACTAATGGCCTTAGTAGCATTTTTAGCGACACTTTTTTGTGTCGTTGATTGTCCAGACGGCTTTTAGTGATATTTTTTTCGATTTTTAGTGGCGGTTTTTTTATGCCATTAAACAAGAAATCGGTGGGAATTAAATTTTCTATTTGATTTCATTTATGAACAAAACACTCACTTATATTTTTCGAGATTTAGTTCTAAACATGAGTGTGTATGTGTTCATGAGTGAAGAACAAAACAACATATTTCATTTTAGATTCTTAGATTCTTTTATGAAAAAATTACATAAAGGATTCTCGTGGTTGACAAAATCGACCAGTTATGGTGTTAATGATGAATTCTTTATACATATGGTCCTTATGGTTTTAAAATCTTGTAAAGATTATCTTTTTCACTAACGGTGTTAACTTTTTCAATTAAGTCCTATATGAAATGACATATTTGCCTTTCCTGAATAGGGACGATTTACGCAATTTGTTCTTACCACATGGACCATTTATGTAATTTTTTCTATTATTTATTATTGTTTTAATTTAATTTAATTTTATATTTAAGGATTTAGATTTTTTAAAGATTTGTTTTAATATATTGTTTAACGTTATATATATATATATATTCTAAATAACGTAATGTCAAACAGCAATGTCAAGCCTCAAGCTTTTCTGAGTCTTGACGGACCATATCGTTTGTAAGGCATGACATAAGGCGTCAACTTTGTATATAATTAATATTTTTATATGTATTTTCAATTATTATTTATTTTTATACACATAGATGAGTTAAGACGGCCTTTTGATAAAGCTTGGTGACATATACAAGCCTTGGAGCCATAACGTGTCATGGCGGAGCCATAGCGAGCTTTTTAGAACCTTGATATATATATATATATATATATATATATATATATATATATATATATATATATATATATATATATCTTATATTTTTTTAACATTTTGCTCAAATTATTTTTTCTAATATTTTTGATGTTTTTTTCAAGTACATTTATTAATGTTTTTTATTTTAACATTTTATTGGAATAATTTAATTTTATTTATTATTTATTATTATTTTTTTGACGTTATGTTTAAATAAATTTTCCAACATTTAGTATTTTTATATTTGTTAAATGATTGCATGGTTATTGTAATTAAATTGGTAACTTAATTCACTTTAAATCATGTTTTCATTTTTCTTTTTTCTTTTATCAAGTTATATAATTATTAATTTTTAATTCAAATATTTAACTATATAAGGTTGTATAATTATTATGTTTGTAAATTCTTTTATAAATATTTATAATAAAAAAATGTAAAATGTTTGTTAAACGTGGATATGATTAATATAGATTAGATAGACATAAGCTAAGTTGAGATCGCCTCACAACCTTGCCGAGAACGACCATGTCATTTCACATTGTATTCAAATGTAATGTTTTCAAGTTATTTTTGTTTTTAGACATTTTGTGCATTTTTAAGTTATACAGATTTCGATTAGTCGGTGTATAACCTGACATCCGTTTCGAATTCCAATTATCATATGTATTCTAGTTACCATATCTATATTAATCATATTCAAGTTTAACAAACATTTTTACACCTTTTTCTTTTCTTTTTTTTTTTTTTTTTACAAAACACGTTTATAAAAAACTTCATAATAATAATACTCGTACAATATTATATGTTTTATATAGTTAAATTTATGAATTAAAAATAATAAATATATAACCTCATCTATATTAAAACAAAAAGAAAAAAAAACATGATTGTAAGTAAAGTAAGTTACGAATTAGGAATACGGTGAGTATAAATTCTTCAAAAAATATTAAAAAAACAAAACAAAACCTAATAAAAACATTAAAAATTATATTAGAACAAAACGTACAAGAATTAGAAAAATCCATAGAACATAATAAAACATCAATAAATATATTTTTAAATATGTAAATAAAATAAGAAACGAAATGTTTGAACAAAACGTTAAAAACTATTAGCGAAAAAAATATATAAAAAAAAACATTAAACAATATATTCAAACAAAACCTTAAAAATATCTAAATCCTAAAATATATAAATAAATTAAGTAAAAACAATAACAAATAATAGAGAAAATTACATAAATGGTCCCTATGGAAGGACAAAATATGTCATTTCACATAAAACTGAAGTGAAAAAGTTAATACCGTTAGCCCAATAAACCGTTTCTACAAGATTTAGAAACCACTTGGACTATCTACGTAATGAATTTGTCATAAGGACCAAAACTGGTCGATTTCGTCAACAACGAGGACCATTTATGTAATTTTGCCTTGTTTTATTGTGAAGTGTACGTATGTAAGTGTTCATGAGTGAAGAACAAACAAACATATTTTTGGAATCATTTTAAAGAATAAATTCTTCTAGAAATGGTTTTTTGAAGAACAAACCAATGACTTATAAAGAGCAAACACATATGGAAAAATCATTTTTTTTGCAGAACTATCGCATATATGGGAATCGACACACCCATATTTAAGTTTTTAACGAACAACACACACAAATCGATTGTGTTGATAAATCGTTTGATTTTTTGGGTATTCATTTATTTTGGAGTTCATCAAGTTCAGATTTCGATGGGTGTTTTTGTGTGTTTTCATTGATTTAAGAACACAAAAATTAAATTAATTGTCTTGATAAATCGTTTTGTAGGTCTTTGTTTTCGAGTTCTTTAGACATTAGAACACGAACACAAATATGAAAATCAATTTGTGTGTTTATGTTGGACCTTAAAATTGATTGTTTTGGCAGGAGAAGACTATGGAAAAAATTATATTTGATTAAAAAAATAAAAATAAAAATAACATAAATAAACTAAATTTGTATACGAAAATAAAGTTCAGTATCTTTATTACTTATTAGGCTAACGGTATGGCGATGTTTTTACCAATAGTAAAAGGGTGTCACATAATTAAGGGCCACTTAAACATTTGTTTTTCATACCAATCTTTGCATAAGATAGGAGTGTGGTAATATTTTTTTCTAAGAAATTGTTTTCAAACCATAATTATATACTACCACTTTTGTGTGTTTTTCTAATGCATAAAAGTACAGCCGATGGTGCTTTCTAATCTACACAAAATGGTTTCATCGGTAAAAAATGGAGAGAGAGAGATGTTAGTAATGGTTTGCTGTCGGCATATCACCGCCAGCAAAAAAAAAATGGACCAAGGTGCGGTGTTTACCGCTTGCAAAATATGCCACCTAGGAGACCGGTGGTAAAACTGCCGTTTAGTCTTGGTCATTAGTTCATATTTTATAATATCCTGTCAAGTTCTATTAGGCTTGCTTTCTAAAAAAGAAGTGTTTATGCGAATACTTCTTATTTATAATATCCTGTGTCAAGTAGTACTCAAGTTCTGTTAGGCTTGTTTTCTAAAACAAGTGTTGTAAGGCTTTCCACATCAAAAGATAAAGCAACAAACTTATGTTATTGATGATAAAAGCCAAGCATCAATGGGTTACAACTAAGCAACCCTTCGGCTGAAAATATATACAAATGCAGGGCCAGAGGCTTCTTATAACGCAATGGCATTAAAAATCAAGTACTCAAGTTTCCATAAGAGCTGAGCTTAAACCATAAGTCAGAACTTAGAACAGAGATGTTTACATTCATATCAGAAATCTAGTTCTTTCCAAACAATCCAGGTTCTTGAAGTCTCGAAAGTGCCTTCTCAAACTGGCCCCACCTTTGTTCCAGGGTACCACTGTAGCCGATTGACATCCTAACCAAACCAGGGGAGATTCCGGCGAGCGCCTGTTCCTCTTCATTCAGTTCACTGCTTGTGCTGCTACCGGAGCAAGACATGAGGGTTTCATAGTAGCCGAGACTAACAGCCATGAGCCCAAACTGGGTGTAGTTCTGCAACAGATTCATCAGCTTGTTGGCTTTAGCTTCGGTTCCCATGTCCAGACAGATCATCCCGCCATATCCATAATCTTTGTTTGAGATCGACTTCAAGAGATGGTGATCAGGGTGGTCTTCTAGACCTGGGTAGATGACTTTCAGTCCCATCTTCTTCATCCTTTGGGCGTACACCAACGCCCGGTGGCAGTGCTCTTTTACCCGGAGACCCAAATGAGGGATTCTTTCCGCCAGCTCAAATGCAACCTTCGCGTTCATGGTGGGACCCAGTAACATGAAAGCTCCTTGGTGAAGATCCATGAGAGAGTTCAGGAGACTTGCTGGACCACATACAGCCCCTGTAATCATACGTATGATCGATATTAGAAGTAATAGATACAAACGCACCCCATACCTGATATGACCAAGACACCAAGAATCTTTTCAAATTTTATTCATATATATATATATATATATATATATATATATATATATATATATATATATATATATATATATATATATATATATATATATATATATATTTACTGAATCTTGCATATAAAGCTGATCAGAAAAGGACAGACTCCTCACATGGATGATAATCAAATCAAGATTGACAGATTCCTATTTTGGCTGTTTGTAATCATGCAGATATCCATACCCATAAACATATAAACATACTCATGACAGAAACAGACACCGAAAGGTGGAGATCGGTCAGATATCGTGACGAAAACTAGCAAAAAGAACAAGATAAGTTATAAGCTGGCAGAGGGTTTCCATGTGATACCCTTTAATGGTTGATAAATGATAATCACAATTCACATGAACCATATGAATCTCTGCTATGTTCTTTTCGAGTTTTAACCTTTACCCAAATGACAAAATCAATGAACGTACTTTGAAGTTTTTTATCCGTGGAAAAATGATAGTAAGGAAAGAAAAGTGTAAATTGACTTGATGAATTGTTGGTATGATGATGTTTGTTTGCGGTTTCTATAATGACACGCGTGCGGTGGAGAAAAAAAATCAGACTTACCAGCAATGATGTCGGCGCCGCCGCTGATATACTTGGAGATACTATGAATTACGACGTCGGCACCGAGCCTCGCCGGAGAAACTACCATCGGCGCAAAAGTGTTGTCGACCACCACCATCACACCTTTCTCATGGGCAATCCTGGAAAGCTCTGGAATGTTAGCCACCGTGAGCGTTGGGTTAGACATGGACTCAAAGTACAAAACTTTGGTGCGCCCTTCAACGATTGCCTCTTTCGTCTTCTCCAAATCCCTTATGTCAACAAACGTCGTCGTAATGTTTGACGACCTCGGAAGAAAATGGGTGAGAAGGGCGTGGGTGCCACCGTAAAGCGTCTGCGAGGCCACAATGTTCTCCCCGCTGCTCACCAGCTGCAACAGAATCGAGGAGATGGCGGACATGCCGCTAGACGTGCAGTATGCCGCCTCTGTCCCCTCTAGTGCCGCCATCTGACGGCCAAGATTGAGGACGGTAGGGTTGAAATGGCGGCTGTAGATGAAGAAATCGCGATCGGGTCCTAGCTCTCCGGCGAACATGCGGCTGAGTGTCTCTGGTTCCATGACGGTGAAGGTGGCGGAGGCCTCGATGGACATGTTAACTCCACCGTGTTCACCAAATTCATGGCGAGCATTTGCCAACGCCATAACAGGGTCTTCCCATGTCGGCTTTGTTGGTAGTTTCTTGGCGATGATATCATCGTCCTGATTTGAGTCGTCGGGATTCATCCTCTTCTTTGAGGAAGAGAAAACGTTGGTGTTCTGAATTGCCTCTGCCATTGACGAGAACTCTGTACTTCGTATAGAGGAGAGCAAGAGAGAATATTTGATGATGAAGATGGAGGATTGAGGGGTTGCTTTTATAGAGGATTGGGAAACTCGGTGGTTATTAGGTGGGAATAAATGGTAATTAAGTAACAGTGAATCTGGTCACCTTTTTGTGTAAATTACAAGGAAAACGTTGGAAAGGTTTCGGACTTTGACAATGACCTTATACTCTAAAATCGAAACAGTCATAAGTACCATAAATACGGCTATGTCCATCAAATTGCGGGAAATTTCATATATGTATTCTAAAAAATAAGAATTCTGCTATGCTATATATATGAGGGGGGAATCGATTAATAGATTAGAATTTTGATACCATGAATTATTTAAACAAAAAGAATCTACATCAATCTAGACTAAATTCTCAATTAGTATATCAAATCATTGTCGAATGTTGGAAAACATGGAGTGGGTAATAATTAATATTGATTCACAAGATATTTACACCAATTGAATACGATGAATGGTAGTTTTGACGTACTCTTCTAATCTTTTGTTTATACATGTTCGGCGGAAATCAAGGTTCCTTTATCAATATTACGAGCGAGTAGTTCTTGACTAACCCAAAATAAGTAAAAACACTTGGCCCAATTATTTTAAGTATAAGTGAGACTTATATATTATGAATAATTTAAAAAATAACAATAAATATAAATGTTTAAATATTTGAAACCTTGAATTTATAAAAAAAAATAAAACGATAATAAATTATTATTATGTAAATGTTTTTTATTTTTTAAATTTAAATAAATAAATAATGAGTTTTAATTTTGAGAATTTTAAAATTAAAAGGTAAGTTCATTAATAACATTGATATTTATTTATTACTATATATATTGTAATTATTATATTAAAATATTATGTGAAATTTAAAAAAATAAAAAGTTTTTATAAAATGACATGTAGAAAAAGTTAATTCAAAATAACCACAAAATGATATTTGATAAATTAATAAAGGTGTTACAAGTAACAAAAAATGAATGAAATATGACTTGCCCGATTATCATTCCATTTTACAATAATTTTATCATTTTTGTTTCTTATATTAAACTCTTCTACAAAAAATATAATCAAATATATTCTAAAAAACATTTATTTGTTAATTATTTTATATTGAAAAAATTATAAAAAATTGTCCCTAAATTTAACCAAAAAATATCATTTTGGTAAAAAAAAATAAAATAAAATAAAATAATTTTTTTTTAAAAAAATCGGCTAAACCATCAGTCTAAAATAATTTTTTATTATAGTTTTGGTCTCTTAAAACTCCGAATGACTTGGATTAACTTTTTTATCTTTATTATTAGTTTTTTCATTTTCTTTTAATTAGACAAGTATTTTGAAAATAAAAACATATTTAACCTCGCCCACCTATCCATCTCTTTTTATCTCTTTAAAACAATACGAACCTTGTCAATCTCAACCGATCACCGGCCAAACACCAAATTCGTTAGAACCAGAGTTGTCCCACTTATTCATCTCTTTTTATGTTTAGAGTAAATTACACGAATGGTACTTAGGGGTTTGGGGTAATTTACAAGTTTCATCCTTAACTTATTTTTTTAACTAAAAAGGTTCCTGCTAATTGTTTTTGTTACACACTTGGTTCCTACTTTTCGTTTTTATTACGCGTTTGGTCTCTACCTTACCTAAAATAACTATTATTTAAATAAAGAAAAATGCTGAAGTAGGTAAGATGAGGTGAGAGTGGGGTTGGGAGTGTGTTTATTTAAATAAATTAAAAAAATAAAGGGCAAAATAGTATTTTTAAGTAAGATAGAGACCGTAACAAAAACAAACATTAGGAACATTCCGAATTAAAAAATAAGTTAGACACCATACGCGCAAATTACCCTAAACCATGAGGACCATTCGCGTAATTTACTCTTATCTTGATAGGTCTCATTTGAACAATTTCCTACGTATAAAAAATAATAAATATGATTTACATAAAAATGCCTGAAGTATTTAAATCTATAAAAATTTGTCCCGGTTAAAGTTTATTGAACTTATTAAAATGAAGGTAACATTGAAAACTGTAATACAACAATTACTAAAATGCCTAAAGATATTTAAATCTATAAAAATTTGTCCCCGTTTAAAAGTTTATTGAACTTATTAAAATGAAAATTTTGCTATACAGTTAACAGAATATTAGCTTTAAAAAATTATATTGTATCATCAGATTCAACAAGCGACAATATCACCTTGTCATGTCATCTATTTATTTATTATATTGGTTAGTAATACATGTTTATATGACACCTAAAGTAACTTTTAAAAAAACGGTACTTTTCTTTAGATTTTTTTTAAATATAATATATCATGAAATTAATAGATAAAGTCGAACGGTATAGAATTTATTATAAAAAATATAAAGATAGAATTGAGTGATGTTGCTGATGTGGCGTTGTTGGCTTATTGCACGTGATTATAGAATGACACATGATAATGTTGTGTTTGTTCTCCAAAGAGTTTGGGTTTTAGCGTGGAGAGAGGAGGAATCACATATGATGACATTTATTTTACACGTTATATACACCACTTATCCTTTTTCCTTTTAGCATACGCATTTTTAACTTATTGTATCCAAATTCCAACATGCCACTTGTCCATAATATATGTCTCATACCATAACTATTTGATACTATACGAATTTCCGCACGTTGCGCAGAAACACCTATATAGTTGAACTCTTTATACATATATGTTTTTTTAAAATATAACAATAACGTTGTTAAATTTGATATAATAATTCGTATACTAAATTGATATAATATATTGATTATTTTGATTTATATAATAATATATACATCTATTATAATGTTATAATCGCAATCGTTTGAATGACTTTTACCCGAGAATTACACATGAATAAAATTAAATATAATATATGATTTAATGTTATTTATAGTTGTTATTGTTAATTAATTTTTTAAAATTTATTTGTTTAATGTTTTAATTTCTATCATTATAATTATTTAAAACATCAAACATTATTTTTTTTATTTATTTAAAAATTAACAATATAATCAATTATATATAGTTATTTTTAACTGTTGTTATTGTAAGTATTTTAAGCTACTTATTTGTAACTTTTAACGATTATAAAAATATATTTAAGAAAATATTTTAGTTTAATTGATATTACAATTTAGTTTTTGTATTTATCACTATAATTTATCACTTTTTGCTATTTACAAAATATTCTTTGGTTATTTAAATGGAACATAAATTTATATTTGAGTTGACATTGTAATACGCAGAAACACCTATATAGTTGAAACCTTTATAAATATATGTTTTTTAAATATAACACTAACGTTGTTGTTAAATTTGATATAATAATTTAAATATCAAATTGATATAATATATTGATTATTTTGAATTATATGATAATATATACATCTATCATAACATCATAATCTTACTCGTTTAAATGATTTCTACTCGCGAGTTACACATCAATAAAATTAAATATTATAATATGGTTTAATGTTATTTATAGTTGTTATTGTTAACTAATTTTTTAAAATTTATTTGCTTAATGTTTTAATTTCTATCATTATAATTATTAAAAATATCAAATATTATTTTTGATTTTAAAGGTAACAATATAATCATTTATATAGAGTTATTTTTAATTATTGTTATAGTAATTTATTTTAAGGTACTTATTTTAAAAAATTTAACGATTAAAAAAATATCTTTAAGAAATATTTTAGTTAAACTAGATTTTACAATTTAGTTTTTGCATTTATCACTATAATTTATAACTTTAAATTATTTACAAAATATTCTTTGTTTTTTTAGTAGATTTGAAATTTATATTTAAGTTGACACTGTAATGTTATATTTAAATTAACAATTTAAGTATTTTGTTCAGACTGTTCAAAAGTTGTAGCTTTAAACTGATAATAGTTTACATACAACAATATTTTTAAATCTAATAAATTAAGTATAATATGTTAAAATTTAAAGACGTAACTTTATAAATAAAAATAAATATATTATTTTAAAATTTAAATTTAGTCTATTTATAATTACACTTTAGGTTTGATATTTATTTAACATTATTAACAAATTTATAGTTATTATTAGAAAGGCACTACAATTTATTACTTTTAACTATTTATAAAATATTATTTGGGTTATTTAAGTTAAACTAAAATTTATATATAAGTTGACCCTTTAATGTTTTTTTTAATTTATAATTTAAGTATTTTATTCAAATTGTTCCAAAATTATACCTTTAAAATGATAATGGTTTGCATCCAACAATATATTAAAACTAATAAATTAATTATAATATGTTAGAAGTTAAAAAATATAATTTTATAAGTAGAAGTAAATATATTATTTTAATATTGAAATATAATTTATATATGATATTTATTTATCCTAATTTACTAAATTATAATTATTATTATAAAGAAATTAAAAAATCATGGGAGTTTCAAATGAATGTAGTGAAAGGAAGAAAAAAAGAATTTCAAATGAAAATGGTGAAAGGAAAAATGTTTCCTGTATAAGTATATAATAATTATTTTATATATATATATATATATATATATATATATATATATATATATGTAACACCGTAAATTTCAAGGCAAAATTTTTTATTTAAAATAATCATTTTATTAGAACACTTGTTTAAAATCTCATTCATAATTGAATTACAAAACATAGTTCGTTTTCACTTGAATAGAAAACCAGGATCCTCCAAAACATAACTCTTTCTCTGGTGTGTACAATCGAGCCGGTGTCGTCCCGTGTTACTGAATGGACCTGAAAACAACATAACACAAAACACTGTAAGCACGAAGCTTAGTGAGTTCCCCAATATACAACTTACGCATATACGCCTTTCCAGGCCCTGACCTTCCGGTCCACAACACAACCCGCCTTCCGGCCCTTAACATAATCGCCTTCCGGCCCGTAACATATTC